TGTCTTTAAGTTTCCTCCACCATAAAGTGGGGATAAGGGTACCATTGTGAGGGTCCTTGTCCTAACATCTGAGATAAAGCATTTTTAAGTGCTCAGCATAGCGCTCACCACTGCGCTCAAGCAGTGTCAGCTGTTGTTAATTTTAATAACTCTAACGAATTATTCTGCAGCATGGCGTATTTTTTAAAAGCTCATTTTCTAAGTGAACATAAAAAATTGTGTTCAGCCCTGGCTGGTGTGGCTCAGTGAATTGAGTGCTGGCCTGTGAACCAAAGGTCGCTGGTTTGATTTTCACTCAGGGCACATACATGGGTTGTAGGTCAGGTGCCTGGTGGGGAACACATGAGAGGCAACCACACATTAGTGTTTCTCTCCCTCTTTCTCTCTCCCTTCCTCTCTGCCTAAAAATAAATAAATAAAAGTCTAAAAAAATTGTGTTCAATTTTCTTTTAAAGTCTCCCCTTTGGCTATTGTGTTTTAACCAAAATTTAAAGATTCATGAAAGAATGATGGAAGAGCAGAACACTGAATACATCTATAAGCAGATTTTATAATGTGCAATAAAAGCATTTGTTTTATTTTCCAAAAATGTTGTGTTCAAAGCATGTTTTCACTATTGACTTGCTGGATGACTTCAAATAACTACACTTAACCTTTTTAGCTATTTTTTTTTTGCTTCCTCTGCAAAATAATAGACTACTTGGTTTCTAAAGACCCTACCAATTCTAAAATAATTACATAGATTTACTTTACACCCTAATTATATATTACTTGCATAGCTGTAAGAGTAATTCAAACCCCAATTATTTCTGGAGAAGCTCAGGAATGCTACACGATTATCAAGGATTCTTGCCAACAATCTGACTACCATCTCATGTGATGTTTGCACTTATTTACCTGATGATTTGACAGGGTATTGCTGACCTGCAACATCTGGAACATTAGTCACACGTGACAAGCAGAAAACTGGAACCAGAATTAAGTCCCCATGCACTTGCAGGTCCTTGGGGGAAATTGACTTAAAAAAAAAAAACTCTCTCTTCTGTTCCTTTGTATTGTCAAAGTTTCTCTCTGAGAGTGTATTTTGGTGATAAGTTAGTGAGTTTAACCTGGGAATTAGCAAGGATCAGATTTATGAGCAAATCGTTCAGGTCTAGCTCCTGCTTACCCCTCCCAGCCCTCACTACTTTGCTTTCGTACACTCTACCAGGGGTGTCCAACCTTTTGACATCTCTGGGACACACTGGAAGAAGAGGAGTTGTCTTGGGCCACACATTAAATACACAAACACTAACAAAAACGGATGAGCAAGAAAAAAGGTTTTAAGCAAATTTACTCTTTTGTGTTGGGCTGTATGTGGCCTATGGGCTGTGGGTCGGACACCCCTGCAACCAGACCAATCTTGACTGTTTCCTTAGATCCTTTGTGTTTACTGCTTCATGTTTTACTAATGCTGTTTTCAACTTGGAAACACTTCTCTCTTTTTCTCTGAACTGATCTTCTCACCATCAGTACTTGTATGTGCAAATCCTCTCCATCCTTCAAGGCTTAATGCAAATGTCACCTCTCCACAAGTTGCCAGTAATCTTTCTCCTTGGGTGCTGGGAATATCTCCCTCAGCGAGCTCCCAGAACACTTTTGAAATGCATCTCTCAGAAAGTCCCTGGCAGGCAGAATAGCACAGTGGCTAAGCGTACAGAATCTGCAGTTGTACCACCTGAGTTCAAATCCCTATTGGTACCTTACTGGTGATATTGGGCAAGTTATAAACTTCTCCATGCCTCAGCTTCCTCATCTTTAAAATGGAGCTACTTGTAGTACCGATATGGCTTTTGTTAGGGGTAAATGAAATAAATGTATAGCATTTGAAATAGTGCCTTACTCACAGTATTTAATAAATGCTGGCTATCATTTTACTTTGCTCCTTCTATCTAACTTTACAGATATAATACCTCTGTCTTATGTTGCTTCTTAGACTCTACATTCTTTGAGAGTAGGAGGATTTGTGCCTATTCTTTTCTTTCTTTTTTTTTTTTGTAGCTCCCATTGAACCTAGAACTTAGCACACAGAAGTAGTTATCGGACAGATTTTGGGGCACTTAAGCTTAAGCCCTTCCTCTTTTTTCATCCCTAATATTCACAAGATGCTTTTAATAGTAAAAAAGGAATTTCAAAAACTAAAGAAGCTGTGGTAATTAAATGTCAAGTTGGATATTAGACTAAACAGTCTATAGGCTGTTGCATGCTAAGGACTGGGCTTTTAAAAGAATGTTACATGTGGTGTACAGCTATTTGACCCAAGGCCCCAAATCCTAATCCTGGCCCTGTGCCATATCTCCAAGCAGCCAGAGTCCATCACCTTTGCTTCCCATGCTGTGGGTCAGCCTGGCTCCAGCTGGCCGTGCATGACAACGATGACCAAGGCCACTGTAGGGTGTAGTTCACCCTGCAGGGACCAGCCTCACCCAGGATCCATGGACAAGTCGATGAACAAATATGTACTAAAAAAAACCCACTATGGATTATTCCTGCAGAACAAAGGTCAGATATAGACAAGATTTCAGGGCAAATGCAGATCAGTTTTTGGAGATATTTTCCACAGATATTTCTCACATCTTTGCAGAGACACTTCTTGGTCTGTGTTCATGGGTCTGTGCCAAACAGCAGTTTACCCAACACTGTGATTCATTGATTTGTTTTCTATACACTGTTTGACTTTTCTCATATTTGTCTTTGGCTGAGGACTCTCAGCATATGTTTTACATGGCTAGTCAGTCAGACTTTTTAGTATTTTTGGATCTTAATACAAAAAAATTTAAAAAAAGAAAGCAAGAAAAATTTAGACTGAAAGCCAGGATTTTTAAAAATAATAAACCAGGGACTACTCATTTTCTTTTTAGTGAGCATTAACTTCAATTTAGTTCTTCTCTTCTGTGAAATTGCACAGCATTAATGTTAAAACGTAATTGAGGTCAAGTATAATATCAGCTCTTGGTGTGTCATTAATAGATCCTAGTTTATGAATAAGAACCACACAAAGTAGCACAGGCCCTCAGAAATGGGCCTGGAGAAATTAGGCCAGACGGGGCTCAGAAAAATTAAGGTGTAAGATACTGACTTCTTCTTGTCCCAAGCGCGGCATTTCTCTTCTCTCAACAAAACTTAGACACAGGCAAAGTAGGCGCTGGCCTATGGCAGAGGCCTATGCTGAAGCTCTCAAACATTGGTTCTCCAAACACCTGCCATTCCTGCCACTAGAGTGTCACTCTATTGGCAGAAGTTTGTTCCAGAGACTTCAGTCCATTCCTTTAGTAATTAATTCATCCATCAGATGTTTATTATTGCCAGTATGTGAAGGGACTAGGGAGAGAAAAACTGAGTAGGATACAAAGCTTTTGTCTAGAGAGAAGACCAAAATAGGGAGATAGTTAAAACTCAGCTTTACCTATGGGGCTGCCAGAGAGGTAGAGAGGTGACTCCACACAACGGGATGTCACTGAAAACCACGAGTGGAGAAATGATGAAGTTATGCACCTCACAGAGGACAAGTAAGATGAGGAAAAGAATGTTGAGTGCAGACACCTCTGACAGGGTAATGCTCTAAGCTGGTCCGTAGTTCTAAACAAAGTAATATAGTTAGGAACAATGTAAAGCCCTCTAAAAACCTGACAGAATTTGATGCACAAGACTTGAACAAATATGTAGATATTTGTTGTGACTTGATAGGGAAGTGAGGGAGAATGAACAGAGACTGGGAACCTGGGCCAGTGCCCAGGAGGGGCTGAGTTGGCTTTTGTATGTTGGAGGAACAACTTAGGGCACTGAGGCCAGCAGAGGTCCAGGTACCTTGAGGCAGGTGCTGAAAGAGGAGGTCAGAAAATGTTGAGCAAACTTTGCCTATTTGATAGTTTTAGGGAAAGTGGAAACTGGTTTAGTCTTGTATACTGAGATACCAGAGAGAAGCCATAAATTATATCTGGATTCATGTGATTTATGTAGATAAAAATAGGCACAGTAAGTATTTGGCTTCAGGACTAGGAAGATGTTTGTTTTCTCAAATTCTAATCAGTCTCATCATTGCAATGTAACCTGACCAGCATAAGCTCTTCCTTCTACTTAGAGTACCTTTGTACCTTCTTCTTCCCCCTTCAAGTCTTGACCAAGTGTCCCTTTCTTCTGTGACAGCTCAGACTTCTCATTGGATTAGCACTCATCATATTGGGTTGTCCCTGTCTGTTTTTCTGTCTCCTGCTCTAAGAGGCTGTGAGCTCTCTGACAGTATAGGTTGCCTTTTCTCTCTATATCTTCAGGACTTAGCCAGACAAGAATGTAGCAACTGCCAATGCATTTCTGTGGGTGGATGGATGGTGGATTGATTGAACAAATGGATGAATGATCGGCCCAAATCAGTAAGGACTTGCATTCTCCTTAGAAATAGACTTCACAGAGTGGATGCTCAGAAAAATACTTAATGCTGTGGTAGAGCACAGATAAACAACAAGTGCCTCAATCCAATTCAAACCTGGTTGCAATTTTGTGTGCTTTATTTTCCTGATCACATGAGCGGTGTAATTTTAGGTCACGTTTCGCTTAGTAGGAAGGTTTCCAAGATGTGAAAGGAGGAGCAATCTAATCAAAAACCTTAAACCAGGAGCCAGCAGGTCTAGCCTCTCTTTCTGATTACCACCAACTTCCTGATTATGTAACCCAGATGAGCTTCTTATCTCTACATGCTTCCAGTCTCCTGGCTTCCACTCTTTCTTCTTTGCATTCCATACTCGACCCAGTTACCTTTCCTGAAAACAAATTAATCATCTTATTTTTGTTTTAAAACCCCTTTGTTGCCTGCAGAATGAATCCCCAACTCCTTAGCAAACAAGCAAGGAGTTTTTAGTATCTCTCAAGACTGATGGCCCTTTATCATATCTCATATCCAGTTATTCCATAGTGCCAATTCCCCTAACAAAGCTCTTTCATGTCTCCGTGGTTTTTTTCCACAGACTGTCTCTGACATCAGCAGTGACCTTCCACCCCTGTTTTACCTGCTAAGCCTCTGTTTGTTCATCTTTTAAGTCTCATCCAATGGAGCCCCAGGTTGCTTCCTCAGCAAGGCCTCTTCTAACTCCTTCAGAGAATGTAAGTACTTCTTCCACCCTGCTTCCATAGAATTTTAACTTGTTTATCTCAGACCACTTATAATCCTGGTAGAAATTATTTGCTTACTCATCAATCTCAGTTGCAAAACTCTGAGTTCCTCTAGGTCAGGGGTCATTATTCTTCTATCTTCCCTCTAGTTGCTAGCATGTAGGAGGTTCTCTAATATGTGCCGGTTGAAAAAAAATCGAAGGAATTATATTGAATTTTACATGTTCTATCTCCCTAACTGTGTCTGTTATTCACCTCTTCTCCATCTCCCCATGGAACCTGATAATGAAAATTGGTTTCTGAGCCCTGATTAGGCAGCATGCATTGTTCTACACCCTTTATACACAGTAAATTTATTTAATTTTTATCTCAGCCCTGCAAAGCAGGTACAACTCTTACTATTACTTTACATATAAATAAACTGAAGCCCAAAGAGGGTAAGAATCTTTCCCAAGTCATCGTTAGTAGGTGGTGGAGCTAGGATTTAAACCAAAGTCTCTCAAACTTCAAAGCCCATGACCTTTCCCCAACATCAGTTGCTTCCTCAAAGGCTTGACCTGGTAGGTTCTCACTTGGCTATTTAATTGTTATGAACTGCATTGGATAGGACCACACGAGTAAGGCTCACTCTTACAGCTGGGGCCAGCCATCTCCACAGCCATCCATGAAAGGCCAGACAGCCACATCTACATGCTGGTGCACACAGAGACAAAGCCCAGATCCTCTTACTGGCAGGGAGCTGTCTTCTAGCACACAGAACTGGCAATTCATTTCCTGGGATCAGATGAAGCCCTCAGTGCAAAGGTCCTTACAGTTCATTGGTTTGTCCCTGATGTTCAGCCCAGAAACTGTCTGCTGCCCAGATCCCTGGAGAATGAGAAATCATTGGCCTCTGGGATGTTTTTCTGGTCACTGAGCTCTCAAGGGGAAAGGTCTGTTGCATGGAAGTGAACAGGCCAAGTTTATCCAAACTTTATCAGGGCGGCCAGGCGTCAGACAGCCCCGAGCCACATTTCGTTAGGACCCACAGAACAGCTGGGGCTTCTTCTCCTCTGCATGATACCTGCCCTCTGAGGATGGAGGTCTTCCTGCCCCACTGTGCAGCTGACATGAAGCAGAAATCCCACTGTGAGCTCCCTTCAGGCTGGAGACTGCACAGAGCTCTCAGAAATTTCCTCTTTTCCCTCCGCTTTCCACTGCCACTACTAAGCCTTCAGCTTATGGGGAGAAGAAAGACTCACAAAAGGATGTGTGCTCCTGTCCTGAAAATGCCTCATAGGAATAGAAGGGAGAGCAAAGGAGAGAAGAGTATTTACATGCTTGTGAACACCTATTCTGTGCCAGCCGGTTTACATACATCATCACATTTAACCATCAATGTAATTATTTTTCCCATTTTAAGGATGTGCAAACTGAAACCGATTGTAATTACAACAGCATATTTGCTTTTATTGCTAAAAGGAGTGTTATGAAACCTTTGACCTTGGGCCCTAGAATTAGTGACTAGAACTCAGCATGACGGTGAGGTGAGACATAACCACACAGATAGAATCCTTGCATTAGTCATGGCTGCTCATTGTCTAAGACTGTGACATCTTGCTGTGTGGGCCCTTGCTGGAATCAGGAATTCTATCTGCTCTCAAAACCCTACTGTCTGGTTCTGGAAAAAAGAAGTGGTCTGAGTTTTTAAAAGAGCCTTGAACTAGGAGTTTGAATACATTTGCTTCAGTCCCAGCTCCATCACTTAACATAGAAGAGACTTTTTTCTTTATAATGCATTTTATTGATTATGCCATTACAGTTGTCCCCTTTCCCCCCTTCATTCCCCTCTATCCTGCACATCATCTCCTGCCCACATTCTCCCCCTTTAGTTCATGTCCATGTGTCATAAGTTCTTTAGCTTCTACATTTCCCACACTATTCTTGCCCTCCCCCTGTCTATTTTCTCCCCACCGTCTTTGCTACTTATTCTCTGTACCTTCTCCCCCTCCCACTCCCCTGTTGCTAACTCTCCATGTAATCTCATAGTAGAGATCTTGACTTAGTTTTCTTACCTGTAAAGTGAGAACAAAAATAATTGATTTCCTAGCTTAGGGTTGTGTGTGTGTGTGTGTGTGTGTATTAAACGAAATAATGAATGTGGGTTGCACAGAAGGCCCACAGAGACCCGGCCTTTTTATAAACAAGCCACGCCTTTGAAACTCCCCTTCTATGGAACTCCACCATCATTGGACAGCACCCCATTCTCCAGATTAATTTTCCTCTCATCCCTGTCCTACCCTCCCACCATCCAAGCTAAATGAAGAGCAATTTGGAAGGAGCATAGACTAGGAAATGGATGACTTGGATTTGAGTACTGATTTTATGAATTACTAGCTGTGAGATATTTAAGTGAGTCACTGAGCTTCAATTTTTTTACCTGCTAGATGAGAATGATGTTAGTAGTTGTATCCTAGTGTTCTCATGAAGGCTATGAGAGAATGAATGCTCCATTGCTTTGCCACTTCTAACGTGCTACACAAATGCAAGTTATTCTACCTAACAAAGTTTTTGGCCATTTTCCATGGGCCAGGTGATGAGGTTGCAAAGACAATAAAACAAGATCTCCATTAAGCTCACAGTCTGAGGAAGAGGCAGACATGTAAACAGGTAATTACAACATGGTGTGGTAAGTGCAAGACAGAGGAGGAACAGAACTCTTGAAGCACAGAGGAGAGGCACTGCATTAATCATCTATTGCCTTCAAATACCCCAAAACTTTGTAGCTTAAAACAAGCACTTACTGTCTCACAAATACACTGACAGTTGGAAATTTAGGAATGATCTAGCTCAGTAATTCTGGCTCAGGACCTTTCATGGGCTCAAACTGTTGGCCAGGATTGTAGTCTCTGAAGTCTTGACTGGGGCTGGGAGAATCCTCTTCCAAGTTAACTCACACTGCTGTCGGCAGGAGGCTTCAGTTCCTGCCATGTGGGCCTCCCTATGGGTCTGCTCAAGTCATGACTTTCCCCAAAGCAAGTCATCTGAAAGAGAGAGAGTGTACGTGAGAGAGCACTCAGGATTATAACCTAACCTTAGAAGTGCTATGGTAAGTATATGATTGTCTAACCACTACGCTGTACATCTGAAACTAATACAAAATAATATCAAATGTAAACTGTAGTTGAAAAATAAAATTAAAATTAAAAAGAGAAGAGCAATGATGTCACTTTTGCCATTTTCTGTTGGCCACAAAGACCAGCCACAGTGCAATGAAAGAGGAAACTACAGAAGAGTGTGAACTGCAGGAGGTGGGGGTCGTTGGGAGCCACCTCGGATGCTGACCATCTCAGATGCACACTGGAAGAAAAGAGGAGCCAGGGAATTGTGCTGACGCATAAGCTCGGATGCATTTTGTCTGCTTCTTGTAGTTTCTTTTGGATACTGGGCTGATAAGAGAGAACTTTATTTTCTGCTCAGATTTTTCTGCTTTTAAATAGAAATTATACTGTAGATAATATAGAACAAGTTAAGTGTTCTCAAGAAGTGATAATGACTTGCTGGTGGGAGCATCCTCCAGCTGGGTCTCAGGGCAGCTGTAGGGCCCTGGAGAGGTCAGGCCCCACAGGCCCTGGTATGAGCCTTCAAGTCCACAGTGTGCCCAGAGCTGACCACCAATAACCACTGCCTATCCGTGTTAGCAGTGCACCTCCCACTGTACCACCGGCATGTGTCTGCGTGTCTGACATTCTTCTAGACTGCCCAGAGCAGGCAGGGAGAATGTCTGTCTGGTACTTGGCTGTGTCCAGCATCTAGCATGGTGCTCGCCACTGTCCTAACTGTTTGAAAAAATTCATGGGAACTTAATGTGTATAGGTCCATGCAGGTAAGTCATTATCACAACCTTTAAGGAGCCATGCTAGGTGTTTCCTGAGTGTCATGGCCTATACTACATGCTTTACATGCATTGCTTTCTCTATACTCACAGCAATCATATGGTAGGCATTATTATCCTCATTAACAGATGAGGAACTCAGGGTCACACAGTTAGAAAATGGCAGAGTCTGGACTCAGCCCCAGGACTGTCAGAATCCAAAGCCTATGCAAGAAATCATATGACATCTGATAGCAGATCTTCTCAAGCAAATAAAAATTTTCACAGCTGAAGCACTTCGGGTGATTAAGCAGATAAAAAAAATTTAGACAGCTCTAAGGAAAAATTTTATTACTATCTAAAAACACAAGCACACATGCACACATCTTATTTTTCCAAGAAAGCCCAACTTAAGTCCCACCTCTTCCAGGAAGCCTTCTTGATTCACAGTGATACTTATCTTCTCCTTTAAACTCCTGGGGTATTTGTGATAGTGCTGTTCAGCTGATACTATATGCGGTCTTGATTTGCAGTTTTTTTTATAACTCGGGTTCATGGTTTCCTTCTCTCTACAGGGGGGGAGTTGGACCCATCCTCAAAGGTCCTTTCTGGCTTGTACATCATAGGAGGTATTTTCCTGACTCCCCACTGACCCAATCACCTCCTTTCAGGGAAAGCCATGGTTTACACTGAAAGCCCTCACTGAGAGAAGACATTTACCCTGAATGGTTTAGAATTCACCCTGATGGTTTGGAAGAGCCTGTTTCAACTGTCTCCTGACTACCCTGTCAGTAGCTGGGGATTCCTTACCATGTCCCAGCGCCTGGCACAGGTCTGGAACATAGTGGGCCTGTATTCCAGTAGGCCAATACAATATTAAATACTCTTTAAATGTTTCCTGGGTAAGTACCTGAGTGAGTAAATACATGAAGTGGTGGTGAGTACTATAAACTTAATGAAAACCTCTAAAATCGTTGGCACTACTAAATCAACAGTAGTCATTTCTTTTACTTGTTTGGTGCTTTGACCTCCCCCAGACAGCATCTCCTTCAGGCGTCTCTCCTCACCCCAAGGCTTTCTGTCTACAGCAGCAGATGGAACACGTGGTTTCTGAGTGGACTGCATTGTACACACATGGACGAACTTTGACCCTACTTATTTCAGACTGCCTGCCGACTCACCGCCATTCTGTTTGGGCTTATTACCAGATCCTTTATTGCAAGATACCTTTATAACATGAGCCCATGCCCCTGCTCACAGCTTTCTTTGCACTGTTTACATATATGATGGGCTTGCTCTCAGGTGCCGCCACCCATCTCTGGCAGTTGGGAGGGGGTTATGTCTTTAATGCTGCAGCAGCATTTCCCCTGGGTCCCACTGTCAAATGGGAGGTCTTTAAGAAGCCTCCTACAGCAGCTGCTCTCTCACACAGGGAGACAGAATAATAGGAGCCTGCCCACTCATTGCCATCGAAGCCTCTGATAGGACTTCTACTTGTTTAACTCTTTTTCTATTTTCTGCCTTAGTACTGGGAGAGAACATAGTGCAATGAAAAAGAGCATAGGTTTTGCAGTTAGAGCTGGATTTTTATCCCGGTTCTGCCTCTTATTAGCTATACCTCTTGGGCAAATCACCTAATTTCTTTAGGCCTTACTTTCCGCACTTGTTAACTAGGAATAATAATATTGTCTACTCCATTGGGTTGTGTGAGGATTGAGTTAATACCGTAAAAGGCTCAGAACAGGGCCTGCAAATAACACGCCCACAATAAATGTTAGCTCTCATAATTAGCTATTACTTGGCGTGTCCACTGTTCACACCGAGAACAGAGTGTGTGGGTAGCAGAGGTTACAGGTGGGTTTTCATCATCATTACCATTTGTATTTTGATGGGAGGAGGAAGAAATTCAGATTTCTTGAACACTGACTTGAAAGCTTTACTCATCTGAATTCATCTAATGTTTAGAAGAACCCTCAACTTACAGGCAATGCTCAGGAGGCTAACGACTTGCTTGATGCCACATAGCCAGGGCGAGAAGCAGGTCTCCCTGACTCGCATTCTTTCCCTGTTCCCCGCAGAACACCCTGGGGCCTGCTAGAGCCTTTCATTTCCTCGTCCGTGATCAATCCATGCATTTACCTTGCACCCTTTCTCACACTGAGAGCTAAAACTACTGGGTACAATAAGTTCTTACCTTTCTCCCACTTCCTTTACTGGCCCCAAGACGGTCTGTGAGTACTGTTCCAACTTCTCTTTTCCACTCAGCCTGTGTCTGGTTTCCTGGCAAACTCTTTCCTCTTTTTCTGGCTCAGTCACACCCTCGTCCTTTCTGTACACAGCAATGTCATTTCCATGGCCTCAGCCTACCCTGTGCCTGTGACTGTCTGTGCTGGCCTCAGCATGATTGGTATCAGTGGCCCAGGCAGGGCTGGCTCAGCTGCTCGCAAGGGGTGGCATGGGGGAGGGGAGGGTGGGAGGGATAGAGGGGTGTGTGGCAGGTGCAGGTGACCAAGCTGCAAGTAGGGGAGGCCAGTAGGAACCAGGGACTGCTTGAGAGTCAGACAAATAGCTACTCCCTCAGGCAAGGGGAGACGGTGTACCTGGGGATGCTGCTGAGGCACCTGAGAAGTTCAAAGTACTCTATCAGGGCTCCTGGCAGATCTGAGGGGCAGCAAAGACTGCAAGGCCTTGGACTTGGGGGAGTTAGAATAAAGCACACTGTATGCTAGATTTTAAGCTGATATCATATCAGGAGGAGTTCAGTTTCAACAAGATCCAAAATGGAGTGGTATTAGGGATTTATGGACAGACTCAGTTTGAAGTAGTTTATTTGTAATAATAAACCATCAGAGTGTCCCAGAAATTCCATTATTCTGGCATTTAGATTGGACGTTCCAGGCTGTCTCTCCTACTCGGAAGTTGCTCCAAAAACCTTTGGCAGACACTGGGTTCTGATCTTTCATTCTGAAAATACCTAACCCATACTCCATAACCTAAACTCTATAATGGGGAATGGCTACATAGTGTTACTGTACTTCATTTTTCAGACTTCCTGGAATAAATCCTGCTGCCTACCATGTTTTTTTCTTTTTTCAAATTAAAAAAAATTTAACTATACAAGCAAGTGATTATAAATAAATATAGTCTGTAAAAAAAAACCATGTAACTAGTAAAAAGTTAAACCCTTACTCGCATACCACCATTTCTTTCCGTAAATTATTTTCTTGTTTAGTAAGTACTGTAAGTTTCTGTCATAATTTTTTTAGACACTTAAGAAAATTCATTTGCATACAGGGATAGGGGTTGAGGGGAAAGGAGGAATGGGCTGCCTGGCAGGAAGTAGTATTTTATCACTGACATTGTTTTCACTGCTCATGGCGACCATAAAAAGCAGACGAAGATTTTATTACTGTTTATTATTGATTTTAGATTATTGTTGAAAACTATCCTCATTGATGAACCCACTCGCTGCCTACACCAGCTCAGGCAGCTCATGGAAACTTTGGATGCTTACTTGCAACCAGCACTCCCAGCGCTTGGCAGTGCCGATGCCCTGGACCCTTGCCAGTGCCTGGATTGTAGCAAGTTTACCCATTTTGGACAACCTAAAGCATAAATAGAAAATGTCTTCATTTTATTCTCTCATTTGAATGCTTGTTTGGTTGGCATGGCAGATAATTCTAGACTCAAAATCATTGTCTTTCAAATTTTTGAAGTTATTGCTTCATTGCTGCACAGCATTCAGTTACCTTTCAGAAGTCTGAAAGGGGATCTTATTTTTGCTCCTGTAGGTAAGCTGTTTTTCATCTCTAAATAGCTTTAGGCTTTTCTCTTTGTCTTTTTGGCTCTGAAATATGTCTATTATTTGTCTAAGTAAAGATTTTAAAAAAATTTGCGTGGCATGACACTTGGCAGGTCCTGTGAAGTCCTGACTCTTCCTTTGGTTTGGGGAAATTTTCTTGTATTATTTCTTGGTGGATTGCTTTCCCACAATTCTCAGTGTTCTCCTGGGACTTTTTTTTTTTTAATGAATGGAGGCATTTTTGAATACATTCTTTGTGTCTCTGTATTATTCTGCTTGGGCTGTCACAACAAAATATCACAACTGAGAGGCTTAAACCACAGAAATTTATTTTCTCACAGTTTTGGAGATAACATCAAAGTTCTGGCCAACTCAGTTTCTAGTGATGGCTGTCTTCCTGGCTTGCAGTTAGCTGCCTTCTCACTATGTTCTCACAAGGAGAAGAGATGTCTTGGGTGTCTCTTTCTCTTCTTGTAAGGGCACTGGTCCTACTGAACTAGCGTTCTACCCTTGCAGCCTTATTTAAGCTTTCTTTTTTTTTTTTTTTTTCATTTAAGCTTTCTTTATCAGCTCTTCAGAGTCCCTGTCTTTAGATATGGTCACAGTTAGGGCTTTAGCATAGGAATTTTGGGTGTGGGGTGGGGACATTAACTCAGTCCACAGCATTCTCTTGATTTTTTCCCAACTTTTCCATTCCCTATCTTTTTGTACGTTCAGAGAGATTTCCCCACACTTAGCTTCTGGATAACATAAGCTTACC